ATACCCGTTGGCAAATAGTTGAAAAATCGTTGGCAGGTTTATCAGAACGCCAAATCGCTAGACATTTAGGAATTAGCAAATCTACTGTACATCGCGTTTATTATTTTTTTAAAAAATACGGATGTGTAAAAAATATTTTAACTTTGCGTGAAAGACCAAGAATTTTTGGAAATGATGATATGAAATATCTTGAAGTACTTCTTAAAGAAAAAGTAGATTGGTATATTTGGGAATTGCAATCTCAAATGGAACTTTGGTTAGAATGAAGCCTTGATCTTAATCTAATATGGAGAGCAATACATCGCCTTAGATATACACATAAACAAGTATAACTAAATATTTATAACAATAATATTTTGCATTTATTATTATATTCTAATCATTATATATACTATATATTGTAATTATTTAAATATAGGCAATTCTGGGGTTCTGGGACAAAATTTCTGAATATGTATAATATAATGTGTGGCCTCCCGGCCACTTTCCTGATATACAAAATTTTTGAAATCTTTATTGAACTCCAAATTTATCTACAAGACCAGGAAATATATCAAAATTCAATATTGAATTCAAGCTTAAAATCGTTCTGGGCTTAAATCCTGTTAACATATCTTCTTACCCAAATTTTTTGTTTTTAAGATCAAAATGCACACCATCTTTATTAACGCGCTGGCCTGATTTTAATCCCAAATAATATAACGAAAAAAGTATGCTATACTGCTTGCCACTTGAAAAGAATCCTGAGTACTGAGGACTGAAGTGTCTGAGTGTGCTCGTGGTTCATCTAAGCAAGCTTAATTAACATACTATTTTTTATGTTATCTTAGATTTAATTCTAGAACTGATTCATAAGCGTAAGCAAAATAGAAAATTTACACCTAAGCTTGTCTTGGATGTAAATTTTTTTTGTATTTGAAAACAAAGTTAAAAAAGATATAGACCATGTTCTAACATACAATTAATTTCTTGATACACAGGAAACCATTCTGGAGCCAATTCATTTACACAAACATTAAGACAAAAAGTCTTACCTCAGGTGTGAAAAAATTTGGGTTAGGTGTAAATTTTTTGGGCTAGGTGTAAATTTTTTCAAACCCTATTATGTCTTCTAAATGATACCTAAAGCCTTATCCTGAAGCCTATTAATATACTAGGTTACATAATAAATATTAGCATGCTTTCTACAAAGGACAGGTTCAGAACTAGTCGGCTTGCCACATACAATACAAGGAAAACGCTTTCTAGCTTTCCAATGTTCATGACACTTTTCTGGCTGACAGCAGGTCCGCCCACAGATATCTCCAGTTCTGAGTAAATAATTGCAAGAATATTCTTCTATCATAATAACAAGAAATAAATATTTTATTTTAAACAAAAGATTTCGTAATATTAATACAAGCATCAGGATAGCAACACCCAGGTATATAAAAAATAATCAAAAGTTTTGTAGTATTAATACAAATACTTATATAGGAATACCTGAAATAAATTATTTATTTTAAACAAAAGTTTTCGTATTATTAATACAAACATCTGAAAGCACACACATATATCTAAAAAATGATACCACCATGTCTATGATGTAGTAAAGATGATTTTAAAAAGACCTGTGATCTAACAGCATATCTTAGAAGAAAGTTTAAATGTAAGCCAGTTCGACCAAAATCTCCTGAATTACAACCACCACCTAGACTTCGATCACCATCTCCAGCTCCAATAGATCATGTTCGAGGAAGAGATCAAAGAAAGGAGAAGGCAAAAGTAGTTAATCCAATTTCAGATCTGCAATTGGTAATCAAAACTCCAGTTCCTGAGATAGAATCCTAAAAGGAAACTCCTATACTTGGTCTAGACTACATCACAGAAGAGGAGGCAAAGAACTGGGTCAATCCAAATGCATGAAAGCCTGGTGAGCATTATAAAACATGGGAAAAAGATTGGTTCAAAAGTGAAAAGAACTCGATTTAGAAGATCATGATATGCCAGTAAGCCTGGATGACTGTCTAACTCTTTATCATGATCTTGAACAATATGATCCAGAGGCAGTTCGCCCACCGACATTAAAAGAGTTAAAGAAATATAGCAAGCTCTCTCTGAGGAAGGATCCTAAAGCCAGACCTAGCCCGATAACTCAAGCTCACAGAGAAGGAAAACATAGCGAGGTTGATCCTAAAACCTGTTCTGAAGCTTTTATTCAAGTGGAAGATCTCATCTTTGAAGAATGCCCAGTTGGAAGAGATCTAGAAAGACCACATGAAAATCAGTCTTTAATGAGCAAATGGGTGGGAAAAGTTCCCCAACCTAAAGTCAATCCAGCATATGCTTTTAATCGAACAATAGCTAATCTAGAAGAATATAAAAAAATGCAATATATGCCCTAACTTATGGGACTAATTCGTCTGAAAATTATAGAAGTTCTTCAAATAGAGCTTCATAGAAAAGACCAAATAAAATCAGCTATTGTAGCATTGTACTTGTATTCGATTACTAAAAGAAATCAAGATGGTATAAGCGATACAACATATATAGAAAAACGACATAGAGGGGGATGTAAGCAATTCTTTCAGAAGGAGAAATAGATGAGCATATAACCAAATCTGCTGGAAAAATAGATAATCATATTGAGGACACATTAAAAGTAGATCTGGATGTGTTCTCGAACGAATTCTTGAAATATCTATTGAGGTATATACTTTACGTCAGGGTATAGAAGGTTCATTCATCCCACTCCCAAAAAGCTCGCTAATACTAAGTCTACCATCAATTCTGATAATAAGGGTTGATCGATCTAAAAACAAATAAATTATCTGAAGAATGTATCCGAGATGCATTAGATTGCTATTTTGCAGATCAGGATGGACACACTGAGCATTTTGAAAGAATTTTCCAAGCAAAGAAGCTCAAACTCTACTTAGATGTTGTCAAACTAGATGGAATCCTAATGCCAACACCAATCTATCCACGTATATTTAATAAAATTGAGGAGATGAATCCAGATATCTCCATCAATGTTTGGGAATGAAATGAAGAATCGGCTACTTCCAAACTAGTAATAGCCAGCAAGAACTTTAAAAGACAATATAAAATCTGTTTGTTAGCTCTCACAAATATTACTGAATCTGAAGAAGGTAAGTATGGGCAAAAGAACCATTTCCTCTGGATCAAAAATCCTAGCAGATTAATATATGGGGATAGCGCTCATAAAGCTAAGAAATATTTATATGATGGATGCTTCCAAAGCTGGTCTTCTGAAAATTCTCTAGAACATTATTTAGAGTAGTGTCCAGGATTACATGAAAATGCTCCCCAGAAAGTTGCAATGCCAGTGAAAGAAGTCAATGATTTCGAGGAGTTCAAGAACAAAAGCTGAATGATCAATGCTTTATGTGTTATTCTAGCAGATTTTGAGTCATTAAAGAAGAAGTGTGACACACATTATGGTGGAAATATGCGAAAGATAACAGAAGAATAAGCTAATAGTTTTAGCTATTTAGTTCAATGGATTGATACTGGAGATGTATGGGGTCCCTTCTTGTATCACGGAGAAAATGCCACACAAGAATTCGTCTGAAGAATTGATCAAGAGCTAGTTTGCATTAATGAAGTCTTAGCTGTTAAAGCTAATCGAATTGAGACTGAGGAAGACAAGAAAAGATTTGCTGAATCAGATACTTGCTGGATCTGTAAGGGGAAAATTGCTATTGATAGGGAGGAAGTCAAATGCTTAGAAAATAAGATATTATGGCTCAATAATAAGCTAGAAAATATCCCAAAGAATTTAGAAGACTATAAGGCCTTAACCACACAAATTTTCAAAGTAACTAAGGCAATTGCTAGCGAAAAAGCTAAGGCTAATAAAGTTTAGGATCACTGCCATATCACAGGTAAGTTTCGTGAATCAGCTCATAGGGATTGCAATCTCAAATTCCAGATACAGGATTGGAAGACCCCAATTCCAGTTATCTTCCATAACTTTCAGGGCTATGACTCTCACTTGGTCTGTGAATCTGTTAGACGCTCAGTTAATGTACAATATATCAGGGTTATAGCCGAAACATTTGAGCGATATAAGTCTATAAAGGTAGGTTAGCTTAAGTATATTGATAATATGCAGTTCATGAATAGTAGCTTGGTCAAACTTATAAAGAATTTGGGTGATAACCACCCAATTACAACTGAGTATTTCAAGAAGCAAAGTTATATAACTGAACAGATTTCCCTAGTATATCGTAAGGGAGTCTTTCCTCATGAGTATATTACTTCCCATGACCGGTTTAAGGAAACAGAATTACCTCCAATTTATAAATTTCATAGTGTTCTTGGAGATAAGATTTCTCAAGAGGATTATAATCATACCCAAAAGGTATGGAAGGAATTTGGATGCAAAAACTTGGGAGAATATAATGATCTCTATCTCAAGATAGACATACTTAGTCTAGCAGATATCTGGACAGAATTTCAAAAAATGTCTATAGAATATTATGAACTTGATTCCAGTCACTATGTTTCTGCCCCATCACTATCCTGGAATGGAATGCTTAAGATAACAGGAGTTAGGATTGAACTTTTCACAGATATGGCCATGCATGATTTTACTGAAAAAGCTAAACGTGGTGGTATATCTATGGCCTGTTAATGATATTTTAAGGCTAATAATCCCAAGATGAGAGAAGCCTATGACCCATCTAAACCCACATCCTGGATCTCATATGTAGACGCAACAAATCTTTATGGACATTCTATGAGCCAATATTTGCCTATTGGAAATTATCAATGGGAAGCTAGTCAGAAATACTTATTAAAAAATCCAGCTATGCAGAATAAATATCTTGAAAAGATTCTCAATACACGATCTGATGCTAAACGAGAGTATTTCTTAAATATTAATGCTCATTTTCCTCTAAAGATTCATGAATATTTAAAAGACTTACCTCCAGCCGTAAAGAATATCACTGTAGAAAAGGATTGGTTATGTTCATATAATGCTAAACTTGTAGAACAATTAGATGGTGGATGCTTCTCTGCCACAGAAAAATTAGTCCCCCATCTTGAACCACAAAAGAACTATGTAATCCATTACCAAGAACTCCAATATTATGTAAAATTAGATATAGTTGTAGATGAAGTTTCAGAGATACTCTCCTTAGACCAGACTAACTGGCTTGAACTATATATAACTTTTAATACTGAAAAATGTAATGAGGCTAAAAAAGCTGGAAATACATTCCTAAGTGATTTTTTCAAACTTATGAATGTATCAGTA